AGGGAATGAAAGATGGTCAGGGAGAAAATTTAGTTTCGAATCTGTTTTTTTCTCATCTGTTTAAACACTAAGCTGTTGGATTTGTGCTGATGTCACCTTATACGTTGAGAGCGTTACCGTTGTGAATCAGTCCGGGTTATTTCGTATTGTGAAGGTCATATTAATTCATTATTTGGTGTAGTTTAGACAATGTGATATTTTTCGGATAATTTGAAATTAGTCCTATTACTACCACAGTTTATTTCGCCTTAGAATTACCTCCAGTTTATTTCGAATTACCTCCAGTTTATTTCGCCTTAGAATTACCTCCAGTTTATTTCACCTCAAGTATTAACCACCCTAACGCTAATCCAACTTAACATATGAGCGGGCGCGGGAGAAATATTTTTAATAATCTTGAATAAAGTGTGTGAAAAAGTGGCATGAAGAATGTACAGTTTACGTTTCTGTGAGATTATTATTGTTATTATTTAAATATTATTGTTATTGATTTTGTATTATTATTTTATTATTATTATTATTATTATTATTATTATTATTATTATTATTATTATTATTATTATTATTATTATTATTATTATTATCATCATCATCATAAATTTTCTCGACCTTCTTTTGAAAGTACGGCGATAGAAGACTCTGTGTTTACAAAGCATCGCAAGAGAGGAAGCTAGATCACATCCTCAACCGCTACACTTTAGTTTGACATTTGACGTGGGAAGAGCAATTCGCACACGAAGGCAGTGAACTGTTATTTGATATTCTGTCGCTGTCATCCATCATGTTTACTCACCATCGTCACTCCTACTCTCTCTCTTACTAACATGATATTGTTCTTCATTGGCTATATATATATCCAGGTGGGTAAATTCCTGACTACATAGAAACATAAGAAAATAAGGAGTCTGCAATAGGCCGGTTGGCCTGTACATGGCAGCTCCTGTCGAGAGTTACTACCACTCTATCATCCTTGAATCTATCTAGCCTCCTTTTGAAACGGAGAATCGGGTGATACACTACGATAGTTTAGTCTGAGGAGTTTATCTATACATTAGGATTTCTTTGTACGTAATGTCACCGTTGTGAAATATTCACATAAATCGATTGCCATTTCCAGATGCCCTTAATGTATTTTTAAATGATACCTAAAGACTATACTCAGATCACCAGCGTGGTTAAACCCTGATTTAAAAAAAAGTAGTTAAACCCAGAATAAAAAAGGTAAAGTTAAACCCAGAATAAAATCTCATAGTTGAACCCAAAAATAAAGTTAAATTAAAGCCAGAGAAAACAACAATAAAACCCAGAATAAAAAGCGTAGTTAAACATAAACAGACTTGCAAACGGGTGAATAAACACGTACTGTAGATGTGAAAAGTGACAGACGAACCATTTCCTCCCCCGTCAAATATAGACTGACGGAGTCTATTACTCCCAGATGTTTAGTTAGGTTCCGAAATGCCAAGGACGAAACAGAATCCGTCTACGGTCAACATACAGTATTCACGAGGGAGAGCTGTTTGCACTCGATGCCGGGACCGACTGGACACCTCGCCGGCGTCAACAGCTGGACTGATTCCTAAGTCAACATTGAAGTGTCTTTGACGTCATTTTTGCTACGATCTTAATGTGTTTTTACTTAATAATAATAAAGAGTAAAATCATGCTACAGGTTTACAGTTGGTTTGGCATGTGTATAGACGATGCAGGTATATAGTTGAGCATGTGTATAAACAATGCAGGTTGGTACACGGTATACATAGACCGTGGAGGTATATAGTTTCCAATGTATCAAGACAATATACATAATCACAGTAATAGTAAACAAGGGAATTTTACCAAGGATAGCCGACAAAGCCATTCAGATCTTTATTCCGGTAGGTTCCTTTCGTAAGCAGATTAAATGGGAATTGAATTAGGATTAAATATGGATATATATGAATCTTTGAGACTCGGAAGTTTGTTACCGATCCTTCAGCTAAGACTACCAGGATGCGAGAACCGAGTAGCGTAGTAAGTGTAAAGTAACGTAGTAAATGTAGTAAAAGTAGTGTAGTAAGTGCAGTAAAAGTAGCGTAGTAAGTGTAAAAGTAGCGTACTAAGTGCAGTAAAAGTAGCGTAATAAGTGTAAAGTAGCGTAGTAAGTACAGTAAAAGTAGCGTAGTAAGTGCAGTAAAAGTAACGTAGTAATGCAGTAAAACTCGATGGCAATTTGATACTTCCTTACCCACAGTATAAAGTAGCAATATTAACGTAGGAAGTCCCTTATACAAGTCGCTATTATATCCAAAAGTTGGGTGGTGAGGTGGTGTGGAAAAATCGCTCAATAGTATTTGGTTACAGCTTATGATTATAGTAATTATACCACTTGAAAATTGGATGTTATAGTTTTTGACCTTTCGTGCCTCGAACATCTGCTTAAAATGATTAACACACTAACGCTACTTGGGGTTAGGTTAAAGTTAAGTTAGATTAGGTTAAGCTAGTTTGGTTTGATTAAGGTTAAAAAATTTTAGGCTTGGCTAGATTAGGTTAGATTAGGGTAAGTTAGGTTAGTTTAGGTTAGGCAGTGAAGGATTAGGTTAGTTTATAGCTTTGTGTGTTTAATCATCTGGTGAAACTAACTAGGGGTGGCTAATCTTCATGTAATCTGTATAATTTGTAATGCCGTCACCCAAGGAAGTAAAGTTTTAAACAAGAGCGATGCACGCTTTGAACTTTGGGCGAGAGAGATCGATACTTTGCTGGCAGTGGCTGAGGTGAGGCCAGGGTTTCGAGGCTCTTGCATAGCTGGTGTGTCTCCAGGCCGCCAGGGGGCTAATGTCTCGCGACTGATTTTTACGGCACATGATGTAAACAAACGTAAAATAAAAATAGTTTTTTCTTAAGTTTCTTTCCTACTGGTCAAAATTGCCACGCTGCTAAGCGCTTTTAATTTATTTTACCCCCTTTGTTTTTAATAACCATCATTCCTGAAATGTAAAGAAAAAAATCCTTAATAGGGTTTTCAGTTGTGGGTAAAAAAAAAAAAAGCCACAAACCATCTTTTCATTAAGCATGAACATAAATTTCTGAATAGTTCATTTACCAGTTTTTAAAAATTCTATTTTTCAGATTCTTTTCTGCCCGTCACCGTGTTTTCTCTGTAAATTCTTTCCCTCTAATTATGCTGGATAATGGGAATCAAGAACACACACACACACACACACACACGCACACGCACACACACGCACACGCACACGCACACACACGCACACACACCAGGAGGCGATGTGGAGAGAGGAAAAATGTGTACAATTAATTGAGATAAGTTTTAACCCAATTGAATGGCAGGAGTTTATCTTAGCCGAATAAAATACCAAAGTCCGCCGCTACATAGAGGGTTGAAGCCTCACATACCGTCAAGTGACACTATACCGTACGTGAAATACTACCAATGACCTTCAACACAGTATTCAGTAAAGGGATCACCTGAAGATTAACCACCCTAACGTTGCCTCGGAAGGTTAGGGTGGGTTAGGTTAGGTTTTAGCGTTAGGGTGCTGAATCTTCAAGTGAAATTTGTTGGGGCTAAATCCTCAAGTGATCAGAAAGGTTTAGAAAAGTAGCAACATGTTAATCGTCTGTGGTATTGCCCTTAGACACGACCTATGATGCACTATTTTTAGAAGAATGATGTGGGTGAATAACAGTGTAGAGTATGTAGTATTGGAACCATCATCTCACAACGTACGTACACAGAGAGAAGACCCAAAACAGATGACACGAAGATTAACACCCCTATGTTAATTTCCTCTTAAGATTAACTGACCACCTTACTGTAACCTAACCTAAGCCTATCCTAACACCTCCCAGGCATAACTTTCGTGTGTTTAATCATCAGGTGAAATAAATTGGGGCTAATCTTTCCTTGATCTTCTTAAACAGAAGTAATAGTGTAATATATGTGATAAGACCAATGGACAAGAGTAATAGGGTTTATATTATATCTGGGAGTGTTACAGTTGTAGATGAGTGGAACAAGTTAACAAATATTATCATTAACTCGGGCAGGTTGCGAAGTGTCTGATATAGATTGTACAGATACACGAGTAATAATGGCAGGGTGTAAACAGAAGTTCTCTCACTTGGTTCACTAACTTACTCCAGTTATCTTTAGTCTTATGTTTTACTGAGGACGATGTAGTTTTATTACTTATCTCACAAGTTCACTAGTTATGGGAACTGTATATGGTAAGGACCAGGTACAGAGTACATGTGAATAGTGTACGTTCAGTGGAAATGGGTCCCATATCACATGACCAGTTACGGACAGTCGGGCACAGCCATGATGTAGACTACGGAATTTATCTCTATACAAGGAGACAGTGTGGCTGGCACTGCACACTTACTGCCTCTATTTCCCGTAACTCTTATTTTAGAGACCCACTGATCACCTGCTACCATGTGTTACAGTTTGGGATGTGGTCAGCTGACGGCGACAGTCTATCTCACACCAGCTGAACACTTACCCTATATTAATGATAAGCTTGAAATAACTGTTGGCTTCCCTGGTGTAATTAATCTGTTGGAAGTCTTAAGACGCTGCCTTCCCTGGGAGAGCGCCACCGCCCCTGGGGGGGGTCCCTGGTGACGCCGCCGCCACTGGGAGGGTCCTTGGGGTCGCCGCCGCCCCTGGAAGGGTCACTGGGGTCGCCATCGCTCCTGGGAGGGCCCATGGGAGCGCAGCCACCCAAGGGAGGGCCCCTGTTTACACCGCCGCTTCTGGTAGGGCCCCTGGGGGCGCCGCCGCCCTGGGAGGGCCCATGGGAGCGCTAGATCTGTAGGGTCCCTATTTGCAGTACTTTTTGCGCTATTTAGAACTCTGGGAGATGCAACGTTAAATACTGTAAACACACCGCCCATCACATTCCAGTATCATCGCATCCAACAGACTAACATAAGTTGTGGTATTTTGCTGACTCTCTGCTCTCTGCTCCTATTGGCTGTAATTTCTTGGGTTAAAAGAATAGTGCCGCCGTTCCTGAGAGGGTCCTTGGGACCGCTACTGTCCCTGGGAGAGTTCCTGGGGGCGCTGACGTCCCTGAACGAGCCCCTGGGATAGTACCTGGGGGCGCCAACGACCATAGCCGGGCCCCTGGGGACGCAACGGACCATGGTAGGGCCCCTGGTGGCGCCGCCGTCCCTGGCATGGCCCCTAGGGGCGCCACCGTCCCTGACAGGTCACCTGGGGGCGTCGTTGTCCCCGGGAGAGCACCTGGGGGCGCTGCCGTTCCTGGGTGAGCCACTGCGGGCGCCAGCGCCACCTGGCAGGGCCCCTGAGAACATAAGAAAATAAGGAGTCTGCAATAGGCCGGTTGGCCTGTGCATGGCAGATCCTGTCGAGAGCTACTACCACTCTCTATAATCCATGAATCTATCTAGTCTCATTTTAAAACTCTCCAGCGTTCCAGCACTTACTACAAAGTTGTTAAGCTTGTTCCACTCGTCCACCACCCTATTTGTGAACCAGTTCCTTCCTATCTCCCTCCTAAACCTAAACTTATCCAACTTGAATCCGTTGCTCCGAGTCCTATCCTGCTCGGATATTATAAGAACTCCAATGAATTGATGTCCATTCTATAATAAGGGCACCAGAACTGAATTGCATAATCGAAGTGCGGCCTGACTAACGCAAGATATAGTTGCAATAAGAGGGCGGCACCGCCCCTGGCTGGACCCCCGAGGGCGTCACCGTACCTGGCAGGGCCCCTAGGAGAGCCGCTGAGGATGCCAACAACCCTGGCAGGGCCCCTGGGAGAGTCCCTGGGAGCGCAGCCGTCTCTGGGAGAGACCCTAGTGGCGTGAGCACGCACATCTGGGCCCCTGGGGGCACTATCTCCAATGGCAGGGCCCCTGGGGGCGCTGTTGTATCTAGGAGAGCACCTGGAGGTGCAGTCGTCCCTGAGACGGCCTCTGGGGGCGCCCACAGCCGGGTCCCTGGCAGGGCCCGTGGGGGCGCTATTGCCTCTGGCAGGACCTGTGGGATCGCCACCGCTTCTGGGGCCGTCACTGCCTCTGGCAGGGGCCCTGGGGGCGTCGCCGCCCCTGTCAGGGCCCCTGGGAGACCCTGGTGGCGTTGCCGTCCCTCGGAGGGCCCCTGTGGAGGCAGCCGTCCCTGGAAGAGCCCCTGAGGGCGCCACCACCCATGGCAGGGCCACTAGGGGCGTCGCCGTCTTTTGAGATGGTCCCAGGGAGCGCTGGTGTCCGTAAGAGAACCCCCGCGGGCGCCACGGCCCATGGCAGGGCCCCTGGGGGAGCCGCCGTCACTGGGAGGGCCCCTGTGAGCACCGCTGTCTGTGGGAGAGCTCCTAGTGGCGCCATCGCCCCTAGGAGAGCCGCTGAGGGCGCCAACAGCGCTGGCAGGGCCCCTGGGAGCGCATCCGTCCTCGGGAGAGGCCCTAGGGGCGTCAGCATGCCTAGCTGGGCCATTAGGGGCACCATCGCCCATGGCAGGCCCCTGGGGTGCCGTTTTCTCTGGGAGAGCACTTGGAGGCGCAGCTGTCCCTGAGAGGGCCTCTGGGGGAGCAGCCTTCCCTGAGAGGGCCTCTGGGGGTGCCATTCCCCATGACAGGGTCCCTTCTGGGGCCGCTGTCTCTTAGAGAGCTCCTGGGGGCATTATCACCCCTGGCTGGGCCCCTGGGGTCGCCATCGCTTCTGTGGCCGTCACTGCCTCTGGGAGGGCCTCTGAGGGCGTCGCCGCCCCTGTCAGGGCCCCTGGGAGACACCCTGGAGGCGCTGCCGTCCTTGGGAGGGCCCCTGTGGAGGCAGCCGTCTCTGGAAAAACCCCTTGGGGCGTCACCGCCCCTGGCAGGGCACCCTGAGGGAGCCACCGCCCATGGCAGGGCCACTAGGGGCGTCGCCCTCTTTGAGAGTGCTCCAGGGATCGCCGATGTCCCTGGGAGTTTCTCTGCGAGCACCGCTGTCGCTGAGAGAGTCCCTGGTGGCGCCAGCGCCCATGGGAGAATACCCGGGGGCGCCAACGCCCATACGCGGCCCCTGGGGGCGCAACCGCCCCTGGCAGGCCACTGGGGGCGTCATCGCCCCTGGCAGGGCTCCTGGGGGTGCCTCGGCCCTGACAGGGCACCTGAGGGCTCCGCTGTCCTTGTGAGGACCCCTGTGGGTGTTGCCGTCCCTGGGAGGGCCCCTGGAAGTGTTGTCCCTGGCAGGGCCCCTGGGGGCGCTAGCGCTCATGGCACGTCCCATGGGGGCGCCACCGCCCCTAGCAGGGCCCTTTGGGGCGCCGCTGTCCCTGTGAGGACCGTTGGGGGGGGGCGTTGTCCCTGGGAGATCACCTGGGGGCGCTGCCGTCCCTGGGTGAGTCTGCGGGCGCCAGCGCCCCTTGGCAGGGTCCCTGGGAGAGCCCCTGAGGATGCCAACAACCTTGGCAAAGCCCCTGGGGGCGCTGCCGTCCCTGAGAGGGCCCCTGTGGGTGCTGCCGTCCCTGGGAGAGCCTTTGGGGGTGCCATCGACCGTGGCAAGGCCCCTGGGGGTGCCACCGCCCCTGGTAGGGCCCCTGGGAGAGCCCTCTGAGAATGTCAACATCCCTGGTAGGACCCCTGGGGGTGTTGCCGTCCTTGGGAGGGTCCCTGCGGACGCCACCTTCCATAGCCGGCCCCTGGGAGCGCCATTGTACCTGGGAGAGCACTTGGGGGTGCGGCCGTCCCTGGGGGTGCCAGCGTCTCTGGCAGGGCCCCTGGGGGCACGACCACCCTTGACAGGGTCCCTAGGGGCGCCATCGCCCGTGGCATGGCCCTTGAGGGCGTCACCGCCACTGGCAGGACCCCTGGGAGAGACCCTGGAGGCGCTGCTGTCTCTGGGGGCGTCATTGTCCCTGGCAGGGCCCTTGAGGGCGTCACCTTCCATGGCAGGGCCACTAGGGTCGCCGTCATTTTTGAGAGGGCCCTGCGGAGCGCCGCTGTCCCTGGGAGAGCCCCGGGGGGCGCCACGGCCCATGGCAGGGCTGCTGTGGACACCAACGTCACTGGGAGGGCTCCTGCGAGCATCGCTGTTCATGGTAGAGTCCCTGGTGACGCCAGTGCCCCGTGCAGGCCCCCTGAGGGCGTCACTACCCCTGGCAGGGTCACTGGAAGCTCTACTGTCCCTCCCTGGTCCCCTGGGGGCACTAGTGCTCCTAGCACGGCCCCTGGGGGTGCCTCTGTCCCTGGGAGGGCCCGTGTAGCCGTTGCCGTCCCTGGGAGAGTCCCTGGGTGCGCCACCGCCCTGGCAGGGCCCTTGAGGGCGCCACCGCCCATGGCAAGGCCACTAGGGTTGTCGTCATTTTTGAGAGGGCCCCTCGGAGCGCCGCTGTCCCTGGGAGAGCCCCGGGGGGCGCCTCGGCCCTTGGCAGGGTTGTGGGCGCCACCGTCACTGGGAAGGCTCCTGAGAGCATCACTGTCCATGGTAGAGCCCCTGGTGACGCCAGCGCCCCGCGCAGGCCCCCTGAGGGTGTCACTACCCCTTGCAGGGCCTCTGGAAGCTCTGCTGTCCCTGGTAGGGCACCTGGAGGCACTAGCGCTCCTGGCAGGTCGCCTGGGGGCGCCGCCATCCCTGGGAGGGCCCGTGTAGCCGCTGCCATCCCTGGGAGAGCCTCTGGCAGGGCCCCTGGGGGCACTACCCCCGCTGGCAGGGCCCCTGGGGTACTACCCCCGCTGGCAGAGCCCCTGGGGGCCACTACCCCTCTGCTTGGGCCTGGGGCATCTGCTACCCCCCGCTGGCAGGGCCCTGGGCACTACCCCCGCTGGCAGGGCCCCTGGGGGCACTACCCCCGCTGGCAGGGCCCCTGGGAGAATCCGTGGACGCGCCGCCGTCCCTGGGAGAGTCCCTGGGGGCACCAGAGACCCTGGCAGGGCGCCTGGGGATGCTCCCGTCCTTAAGAGAGCACTTGGGAGCGCCCCCGCTCATAGCCGGGTCCCTGTGGGTGACACCGCCCATGTCAGCATCTAGGGGCGCCGCTGTCCCTGGTTGATCCTCTGGGGGCACTACCGCCCCTGACAGGGTCCCTGGGGGTGCCCCTGAGGATGCCAACAACCCTGGCAGGACCCCTTTGGTCGCCGGTGTCTCTGGTAGAGCACCTGGAGGTGCAGCCCTCTCTCAGAGGGCCTCTGGGGACGCCAGCGCCCACAGCCGGTCCCCTGGGGGCGTTAGCGCCCCTGTCATGACCCCCTGGGGTTCCTTCGTCTCTGGCAAGACCCCTCGGGTCGCAACCGCCTTTGGGGTTCACCACTGCCCCTGGCAGGGCGCCACCGCCACTGACAGGGCCCCTGGAAGAGACCCTGGAGGCGCTGCTGTCCCTGTGGAGGCAGCCGTCCCTAGAAGAGCCCCTGAGGGCGTCATCCCTCCTGGCAGGGCCTCTGAGAGCGCCAACGGCCATGGCACGGACCCTGGGAGAAACAATGGAGGCACTGCCGTCCCTGGGAAGGTCCCTGGAGAGGCAACGTCCCTGAAAGTGTCCCTGAGGGCGTCATCGCCCCTAATAGGGCCCTTGAGGGCGCCCCCGCCTATGTCAGGGCCACTAGGAGCGTCGCCGTATTTGAGAGGGCCCCCGGGAGTGCCGTTGTCCCTGTGGGCACCACGGCCCATGGCAGGGCCCCTGGGGGCGCCGCAGTCATTGTCAGGGACCCTGTGAGCACCTCTGTCCATGGGAGATCCTCTTGTGGTGCCAGCGCCTCTGGCAGGGCCCATGAGGGCGTCACTACGTCTTACAGGGCCCGTTGAAGCTCTGCTGTCCCTGGCGGGGGCCCTGTGGGCGCCACGGCCTCTGGCAATGCCCTGGGAGAGCACCTGAGGGCGCGATCACCCTTGGCAGGGTTCCTGGGGACGCTACAGCCCCTGACAAGGTCCCTGGGGACGTCACTTTCCTGGCTAGGGCCCTGGGAGAGACGATATCTTTGGTAGGCACCCTGGGGGCGCCACCACCCCTGGGATGGATTTTTTGGGCGCAGTTGTCCAAGGGAGAACCCCTGGTGGCACCAGCGCCTCTAGCAGTGCCCCTGAGGTCGTTATTACACCAATCAGGGCCCCTGTTAGCTCTGCTGTGCCTAGCAGGCCCCCTAGGGGTACTAGCGCTCCTGGCAGGTCCCCTGGGGGCGTTACCGCCCCTAACATTGCCCTTGGGGGCGCAGCCGTCCCCTTGAGAGACCCGTGTAGGCGCTGTCGTCCCTGAGTGAGCACCTGGCGGAGCCGCTAGGGGCGCAAGAGAACCTGGGAGAGTCCCTTGGGGAGCCAGAGTCCCTGGCAGGGCCTCCGGGGGTGCTGCCACCATTGGGAGGGCCCCTGGGTGCGCCACCACCCATGACAAACCACCTGGGGTGCTGCCACTGTCCCCGTGAGATCCCCTGAGGGCGCCAGCTCCCCTGGGAAAGTCCCTGGAGAACTCCACCGCCCCGACAGGGCCCCCGTGGGACCCACTGCTCTTGGCAGGGCTCCTAGGGGCGCCACCACCCCCAGCAGGACCCCTGGGCGCGCTGGCGTCCCTGAGTGAGCCCTTGGTAGTGTACCTGGGGTGCACCAACGCCCATAGCCTTTCCCTGGGGGCGATGCTGTCCCTGTCCCTGGCAGGGCCCCTGAGGGCACCAGCAACCTTGGGAGGGCCCCTGAAGGCGCCGACATCTCTGGGAGGGCACCTGTGGGCGCCGTTGTCCCTAGGAGAGCACCTGGGGGCGTCACCGTCCCTGGGATGGATTTTTTGGGCGCAGATGTCCCTGAGAGAACCCTTGGTGGCACCAGCGCCCCTAGCATTCCCCCTGAGGTCGTCATTTCACCAATTAGGGCCCCTGTTAGCTCTGCTGTGCCTAGCAGGTCCCCTGGGGGTACTAGCGCTCCTGGCAGGTCCCATGGGGGCGCTACCGCCCCTAACATTGCCCTTGGGGGCGCCGCCGTCCCCTTGAGAGACCCGTGTAGGCGCTGTCGTCCCTGAGTGAGCCTTTGGCGGAGCCGCTAGGGGCGCAAGAGAACCTGGGAGAGTCCCTGTGGGCCCCAGAGTCCCTGGCAGGGCCCCCGGGGGTGCAGCCATCATTGGGAGGGCCCCTGGGTGCGACACCACCCATTACAAACCACCTGGGGGTTGCCGCTGTCCCTGTGAGATCCCCCGAGGGCGTCAGCTCCCCTGGGAAAGACCCTGGGGGACGCCACCGCCCTGACAGGGCCCCCGCGGGACCCACCGCTCTTGGCAAGGGTCCCTGGTGGCGCCGCCGCCCTGGGAGGGCCCCTGGGAGCGTTAGACCTGTAGGGCCCCTATTTGCAGTACTTTTTGCGCTATTTAGAACTCTGGGAGATGCAACGTTAAATACTGTAAACACACCGCCCATCACATTCCAGTATCATCGCATCCAACAGACTAACATAAGTTGTGGTATTTTGCTGACTCTTTGCTCTCGTCTCCTATTGCGGGCCTATAGGACTGCTACTGTCCCTGGGAGAGTTCCTTGGGGCGCCGCCGTCTCTGGAAGAGCATCTGGGGATGCCAGCAATCCTGGCAGGGCCCCGGAGGGCGCCGCTGTCCCCGGGAGGGCCCTTGGAAGCGCTGTTGTTCCTGGGAGAGCCCTCAGGGGCGCCACCAACCCTGGCAGTGTCCCTCTGGGTGTCACCGCTCTGGCACGGCCCATGGGAGCTCTGTTGTCCCTGGCAGGGCCTGGGAGATCGACTGGGGGCGCCACCGCACCTGGGAGAGGACTTGGGAGCGCCGCCGTCCCTGGGAGAGCCCTTGGGGAAGCCAGCGACCCCTAGGGGCGCAACCTCCACTGGCGGGGCACCTGGGGACATCACCGGCCTGGCTGGACCCCTGGGAGCTCTGTTGTCCTTGGCAGGGCCCCTTGGGGGCTCCACGGTCGCTGTTAGGGCCCCTGAGAAACTCCCTTGGGGTGCTAGCAACCATGGGAGTACCTTGGAGTGCGGCTGTCCATGGGAGGGCCCCTGAGGGCGCCGTTGTCTCTAGGAGAGCACCTGGGGGCGTCACCGTCCCTGGGAAAGCCCCTGGAGGCGCCAACGCCAGCGGCAGGACCCCTGGGGGCGTCACCGTCACTGAGAGAGCCCCTGGGGGTGCCTTTGTCCCTGGGAGAGCACCTGGCGGCGTCGCCGTTCCTGGGAGAGACCCTTGGGGCGCCACCGCCCCTGGAAGGATCCTTGGGGACGCGACCGCCCTGACAGGTCCTCTGGGAGACCCATCGCCCTCTTTAGGGCCCTGGGGGCACCACCTCCCCTAGCAGGTCCCCTGGGAGCGTCCCTGGGGTCGTCGGCGTCCCAAAGAGAGCCTCTAGTAGTAGTTAGATGGCGGACCCACCGCCCTTGCCAGGGTCCCTGTGGGCGCCACCACCCTGACAGGTCCTCTGGAAGACCCACCGCCCTCTGCAGGAGCCCTGGGGGCGCCACCTCCCCTAGCAGGTTCCCTGGCAGGGCCCCTGAGGGCGCCACCGCCTCTGACAGGGTACCTGGTGGTGCCGCCGTCCCTTGTAGGGCCTTTGGGGGCGAAGATGTCTCTGGGAGAGCCCCTGGTGGCGCCAGCACCCCTGGGAGAGACCCTGGGGGCGCCACCGCCCCTGGAAGGATTCCTGGAGACGCCACTGCCCTGACAGGGCCTCTGGGGGTCCCTCCGCCTTT